TAAAATCCTTTAGTTGTATTTTAGCATATTCAGCCATACAATAATAAATTAATGTGAATCCTAACACAAATAAAAGATTACAATAAGCGCTGGTTTTATTTTAGACACAAAAGCATGATGTTGAAGGAAAAAGGGTATTGGCATAAAAATAAATCTGTTAAATGATTTCAATAAAAAAGTGCTTAGTTTCAATTAAATTATATCTTATACAGTGATATACAAGTATTCTCTGGTGCTTTACAATTATTGACAAAGTAGTAACATGAAAATACTACATCATACATTGTTTACATGTCTTCACTATTTCATATAATCACAGATGGTGGCAGTAATAATAATAATAATGACAATAATAATAATAAAAATAACCAATTGACAAAACCCCACCTACAGTCATTCAAATATTAAATATTCAGTTTTGAATTTACAGAACAGCCACACACTTCCCAATATCATTTTTTCCAGTATTCAAACTTGAGGTCCTTAAAACAAAAAAGGCATCTGTGTGGGAAACCTATAATACATTAGTAGGCAAACAAGACAGTAACAAGCAGATGCACGAGGCTGGATCAGCTCCTAAGATGGTGTCTGACTGCTACCACTAGTTCCACTCCAAACTGCTTTATCATTAATAGAAATAGGGAACTAACAAAGTTTCCATACAAAAAGTTTAAGTCACAATAAGAGGTGGTTACACCTTTGCAGCAGCACAGGGCTCTCACAGACAACAAGCAGCAATTGTGAGCTTCATTGTTGTTATAGCCTTTAGTGGAACCAAATGACTGATACACTTCTCATTTGCTCTTATCAAGAAATGCATCCAACATTTAGGACCACCTAAAAGTTATAACAACCTAACTACTCACAATGATACGAGAGTCGCATTACTCCCATGGGGATGGGGAGAAGGTGAAAGTGTAAAGAATGGGGAGGAAAGAGGGGGAGGAAAAAATATATGCTTGGACAATTGGTGCAGGGCGTGACTTAAAATGCTGGTTGGCAAAGAGTAATATTCAATTGTAGATAATGTTGGAGTATCAGGACATGGATTCCTACTTAGTTCTCATTCTCCAAACCATGGCATCAACAGCAGAAAACAAATTCCAAGCCAGTTTTTGCCAGAATCCAAACATACCACAAAATTTAACCATGGAACCCAAGCATGGAATTCAAGCTTTGAGCCTCACTGTTCACTAAATATTTTCTTAAGGAATAATTGATATTTCAATCACATTCATAGGCACTGCCTCAATCCCACTACAAAAATTTCACTAAATTAGTCTTTGTTCTTTAAATCATTGCACTTTGCAATAGCAGGTGATGTACAAGGCTCACAGTGCTGCTCCATCTTCAAAGGTGGCTCACATGGCATTGGCACTTGGCTAAAGAGAGGCCATGGTGTTAAGTTAATTAAACAGTCTATATGTGGTTCTAGAACACCTGAATGCAATACCATTTGTTAATGTCCAGGTTTAGCAGGCAGGTGCTGCCTACAAAGGCCAAAAAAACAGCAGACTTGTTTTGGAGCTTCTGCTACTCACTGCTTGACTAGTCACTTGTGGAATCTTCAGTACATACATAGTCAAAATTTAAGTAAATACTGAATTAAGCACATAAGTGGAAATATATTTTTTTCAAAAAGGATATTACTCATTTAAATGAAAAATGCAAATTTTAATACAAGAAACATTTTTAGTTTCTGAAAAAATTCAAAATGACTGAATTTTAAAAGCCACTTGCCATAGAAATCAGGATGTAATGCAAGAATACACTAATTCCATAATTGCCAGTAGGTATATTGTTTCTTATACACCCCACCCTCCACAGTTCACTCATACTTGCCTTACTTGGGGTAGTTTCCATGTAATCCATGACTGTATTCACATGATTTTTCACATCAAAGTTCTGCTGTGAAACTTGTGGTCACCAGTCACATGAAATATATGGAGGGTCCCAACATTCACTTTGAGCAGAAGGAACATTCTTCTCACAGCAATACAAATCACTGCCACTCGTTTATTTACAATCACATATATATATTTTTCATTATAAATAACAGAACATCCATTTCAAACCATTCTGATATCCACTACTAAAAACATCTGAATAATGCAGTGGATTATTCTTAAATAGATTCAGACAAGTTACTGATGAGAATCTAAAAATCTTCATTGCTTAGCCTTTTCCTTTAATACAATGACACTTCTTCAACTGTGACCTTTCTCTTCACACAATGTACATTAGCAAAAGCAACTTTGATTTCTGAAGCTCCCCAATCTAAGTAATTTCCGTCTAAGAAAAATCTAATACATTTTTTCAATTTCAGTCAATTGTATCTGTAAAAGAACTTAATTTTCCTGGGTACTGTCCTGCACAGAGGGCTGGGAATTTGGAGTTAATTGTGGGGATGGTGTGGTCTTATTTGTGCCACCTACACTGCTGCTAGTACTGTTGATGGTACTGCAAGAACTGCTGCTACTGCTAGTGCTGGTAATGCTGGTATTAGTGGTGGTACTAGTTTGTGGTCCTCCTTGGTTACTTGTACTAACAATCATGGTGGTACTACCACCTGTTGTTCCTACTATGCAAGTTGTGGATGTTGTAGCTGTAGTTGGAATGGTGGTGGTAATATTAGCAGAAGTTACCTCTGTACTTCCAGTGCTGCTACCACTACCACTGGTAACTGTTACTGAACCACCACTATGGCTGAAATACAAAACTGATGTTTATTGTATATACATAAATAATATTCCAATACTCTACAATGGATATTAGAAAAAATTACAACATACAAGACAATAAAGTAATATGTTTCTAAAGTTGCTAATAATTAGGTGTAGATTTAAAAATTGTTGTAGAAGAGATTTCATCTTTTTATCAGCTCCAGCAAACTTTGATAACAATGGCACTTGTCCTAAAAGTAATACTGGAAAACTTATCCAAAATTAAGACCATGGCTACTACACAAAAAAAAAAAAAAAAAAAAAAATCCTCATATCTGACATTCTCAAGCCTTGGAAAATGGAGGCCAATCAAAAAAAAATAAGAGTAAACACAACCTGAAGACTAGGGTGTACTCGCAATTCCTAGAACAAGAGACTGATTATACTGTAGTTGTAAGACATCCTAAATGGGCCAGCAGGCCGCCAGCATATATAACAGCCTGGTTGATTACACAAACACCAGACAAGCCTAATTCAGGGCAGGGTTATGAGTAGGAAAATTCTCAAAGCCTTCAAAGGTATGCCTGGTATCTGTGGCAGTGACCTGCAGCATCTTTAGTACACGTGCAAAAATGAGTTAATTTTTCGTGACTTATTGGGGTATTTTTTTTCATTCGCCCTATTTTTTTTTTCATACTGTTGTGAATATGCCTGGGAGCATATGCTGGGTTGTGTGTTGGTTCTGAAGGAAAAACAGCACAGTGGGCAGGGTGACAGTGAAAGTATTAAAATTGCTATAGTTAACAAAACAAATACAACAATAACAGCCCAAAATTTTGTTGTGTAGTGATTCTTGGAAATGCATTCATTTTATTAAAAATTCCTTGAAGCATGGGAAATTTAAGGAAAGTACTACCTATTCCTATGTTATATTAAGGCAATAAATGTACATTACAATTTATTAAATATATAGTAGGTTGGTAGACAGCAACCACCCAGGGAGGTACTACCGTCCTGCCAAGCAAGTAAAACAAAAGCCTGTAATTGTTTTACATGATGGTAGGATTACTGATGTCTTTTTTCTGTCTCCTAAACATGCAAGATTTCAGGTACGTCTTGCTACCTCTACTTACACTTAGGTCACACTACACATGCATGTACAAGCATGTATATACACACCCCTTTAGGTTTCCTTTTCTTTTCTTAATAGTTCTTGTTTATTTCCTCTTATCTCCATGGGGAAGTGGAACAGAATTCTTCCTTTGTAAGCCATGCATGTCGTACGAGGTGACTAAAATGCCAGGAGCAAGGGGCTAGTAACCTTTTCTCCTGTATACTATATTACTATAATCAAAAAAGAGAAACTTTTGTTTTTCTTTTTGGGCCACCCTGCTTCAGTGGGATACTGCCGGTTTGTTGAAAGAAGATCCCTGAAACCTGAGGGATAATGAACTTCCAGTATACTTTTGCTTAATTTTTTTATTTAACCCTTTCAGGGTCAGTCCCATTGTATCAGAGCTTTGGAAGCCAGTGTTGGTCCCAAAGTACAATGCCATGAGCTCAGCTCACTTAGGTAAGCTGTGAGAGGTAAATTTGGGCCTAGATATGAGAGAATGGGTCTATGCAGTAAGTGTGCACCATATAAAAAAAAAAAAGCCTGCAGTACATAATGGGGAAAAATTTTACTTTTTTTTTTTTTTGTTCAAATGCAGCTTTGCAGTGTTTTCATATGGTTTTTATGGATGTATTCTTTGTTTCTTGGTCTCATTTGATAGAACGGAAATTATGTTATAGAAATAGACATGATTCTGATTGGTTTCAGGACTGAGAGTTGCTTGAAATTGAGTTCAAATTAGTGGAAATGTTCGATTTTTGCCAATATTCCTGAGTACACAAATTACATCACTCGTCCAATACACATCCAACTGGTCGGTTTAACATGCTTTCACGAATGCATTGACATTTATTTATACAATTATTACAATACTACAGTAGTCTGCATAGCAGTAAATCTTTTATTTTTTGTGTGAATAAAAATTCAAAATGAAATGCAAGCATAATATAGGAGAGGCCTGAGGATGTTGACGAATGAACAGACAAAATGTTAATTTTGTGCGAGATTGGCCAAATTACTGATTTCTGATCACTTTATTGGGTAGATTTAATAGGTAAATGGGCAATTTCTTGTACTCAATCAATAAAATAGAAAGAATACTAGCTAAACAACTATGAGTCTAGTCAATCAAAACAATGGAATTGGCTGAAAATAGGGCTCAAAGTGGGGAAAATCGTCACTGCAATGCTGAGGCCGATAACTTTGCGAGAGTGTAATTCCGTAAGTTCCACCAAATTTCATACCTTTAGTTTCGATACCTTCGGAAAAGCTTCTCTATAATTTCACAAGGAAAATATATTTTTTTTAATTCTCTGACCCTGAAAGCAGGTTTCAGATCAGGGGTCCCAACCTTGAAAGGGTTAACAGCCACTAAACTAATTACAGGTCTCCCTCAATATTCACGTTTTCAACTTTCGCAGGCTTCACACATTCGCGAATTTCCAACCGCCAAATTCCCAGCCGCCAAATCATATTTAAGTTTACCGCCACGAGTCCTTACTACCCTCCCTCCGACCCCTGCAACTGGCAGCCAGCCTTCCCACTACTATGTGGTGAGTGTTTTGTTTGTTTATTATTTGCTATTAAACTACAGTATAAATAATGTAAACCCATCCATGACTGCATATTAGAATGGCTATTCAGACAGGTATTGGAAGGTGACATCATGTGTTTACTCTTGAACACAGCAAAGAATCAAACATTTCTGCTACTGCTAATAATAATAATAATAATATTAATATAATAATAATAATAATAATAATAAATAATAATAAATAATAATAATAATAAATAATATATAATAAATACGATAGAATTGAAGAAGGAATTGTACAAAAATACGAGGGTTGAAGCAGTGGTGGAGGAAGTGGTTGACGCATCGTCAGTGTGGCTTTGTTTATGCTGGAGTGAGTATTAGTCTCTGTGCTCTTCCAAACATTTCACAATAATTCATTGTATTTGGTGCTTGTAGATTGAGTGTGACTGGAGTGGTTGAGGCAGTGGTAGAGGCAGTGGTAGAGGCAGTTATAGAGGCAGTGTAGAGGCAGTGTAGAGGCAGTGGTAGAGCAGTGGTAGAGGCAGTGGTAGAGGCAGTGGTAGAGGCAGTGGTAGAAGCAGTGGGTGAGGCAGTGGTAGAGGCAGTGGTAGAGGCAGTGATATTTACTAACATATATGTTATAAATAATAATAGTACATTATGAATAACATTTATTATTATTATTATTATTATTATTATAAGCGACTATTGGCAGAAAGGTGGGCTAGTGCAAAGATGAGTAGTGGGGGGGTTGAAGAGGGTTGGAATAGTTTTAAAAATGCAGTATTAGAATGTGGGGCAGAAGTTTGTGGTTATAGGAGGGTGGGGGCAGGAGGAAAGAGGAGTGATTGGTGGAATGATGAAGTAAAGGGTGTAAAAAAAGAGAAAAAGGTAGCTTATGAGAGGTTTTTACAAAGCAGAAGTGTTAAAGAAGAGCAGAGTATATGGAGAGTAAAAGAAAGGTGAAGAGAGTGGTGAGAGAGTGCAAAAGGAGAGCAGATGAAAGAGTGGGAGAGGCACTGTCAAGAAATTTTAATGAAAATAAGAAAAAATTCTGGAGCGAGTTAAACAAGTTAAGAAAGCCTAGGGAAAGTATGGATTTGTCAGTTAAAAACAGAGTAGGGGAGTTAGTAGATGGGGAGATGGAGGTACTAGGTAGATGTCGAGAATATTTTGAGGAACTTCTAAATGTTGAGGAAGAAAGGGAGGCGGTAATTTCATGCACTGGCCAGGGAGGTATACCATCTTTAGGATGAAGAAGAACAGAATGTAAGTGTGGGGAGGTACGTGAGGCATTACGTAGAATGAAAGGGGGTAAAGCAGCTGGAATTGATGGATCATGACAGAAATGTTAAAAGCAGGGGGGGATATAGTGTTGGAGTGGTTGGTACTTTGTTTAATAAATGTATGAAAGAGGGGAAGGTACCTAGGGATTGGTGAGAGCATGTATAGTCCCTTTAATAAAGGGAAAGGGGACAAAAGAGATTGTAAAAATTATAGAGGAATAAGTTTACTGAGTATACCAGGAAAAGTATATGGTAGAGTTATAATTGAAAGAATAGAGGTAAGACAGAATGTAGGATTGAGGATGAGCAGGGAGGCTTCAGAGTGGGTAGGGGATGTGTAGATCAAGTGTTTACATTGAAGCATATATGTGAACAGTATTTAGATAAAGGTAGGGAAGTTTTTATTGCATTTATGGGTTTAGAAAAGGCATATGATAGAGTGGATAGAGGAGCAATGTGGCAGATGTTGCAAGTATATGGAATAGTTTTCTAATTTCTGTAAAGAGCTTTTTATGGGGGATAGTGAGGCTCAGGTTAGGGTATGTAGAAGAGATGGAGAATACTTCCCAGTAAAAGTAGGTCTTAGACAGGGATGTGTAATTCACCATGGTTGTTTAATATATTTTTTAATGGGGTTGTAAAAGAAGTAAATGCTAGGGGGTTCGGGAGAGGGGTGGGGATCAAATTATGGGGAATCAAATTCAAAATGGGAACTGACAAAAGTTACTTTTTGCTGATGATACTGTGCTTATGGAAGATTCTAAAGAAAAATTGCAAAGGGTAGTGGATGAGTTTGAGAATGTGTGTAAAGGTAGAAAGTTGAAAGTGAACATAGAAAAGAGTAAGGTGATGAGGGTATCAAATGATTTAGATAAAGAAAAATTGGATATCAAATTGGGGAGGAGGAGTATGGAAGAAGTGAATGTTTTCAGATACCTGGGAGTTGACGTGTCAGCAGATGGGTTTATGAAGGATGAGGTTAATCATAGAACTGATGAGGGAAAAAAGGGGAGTGGTGCATTGAGGTATATGTGGAGTCAAAAAACGTTATCTATGGAGGCAAAGAAGGGAATGTATGAAAGTATAGTAGTACCAACACTCTTATATGGATGTGAAGCTTGGGTGGTAAATGCAGCAGTGAGGAGACGGTTGGAGGCAGTGGAGATGTCCTGTCTAAGGGCAATGTGTGGTGTAAATATTATGCAGAAAATTCGGAGTGTGGAAATTAGGAGAAGGTGTGGAGTTAATAAAAGCATTAGTCAGAGGGCAGAAGAGGGGTTGTTGAGGTGGTTTGGTCATTTAGAGAGAATGGATCAAAGTAGAATGACATGGAAAGCATATAAATCTATAGGGGAAGGAAGGAGGGGTAGGGGTCATCCTCGAAAGAGTTGGAAAGAGGGGGTAAAGGAGGTTTTGTGGGCGAGGGGCTTGGATTTCCAGCAAGTGTGCATGAGCGTGTTAGATAGGAGTGAATGGAGACGAATGATACTTGGGACCTGACGATCTGTTGGAGCGTGAGCAGGGTAATATGTAGTGAAGGGATTCAGGGAAACCGGTTATTTTCATATAGTCGGACTTGAGTCCTGGAAATGGGAAGTACAATGCCTGCACTTTAAAGGAGGGGTTTGGGATATTGGCAGTTTGGAGGGATATGTTGTGTATCTTTATACGTTGGTTTAGAAAGACACGTAAGCAAACACTGACATATTTATTAGAAAACGTTTCAGTCCTGGGACCTTATTCACTTCTAACATACAGAGGTAGAAAGGCATTATATATATAGGCGGAGAGTGAGGTGTGACGCACGTGACCTGAGGAATGTCATAAGAACCTAAGAATGGAGGAACACTGTAGAAGGCCTACTGGCCCATGCGAGGCAGGTCCTTATCAAAACAACCTCTGCCTATTTTGAGGACGGGTAGACGATGAAATCATGCGACTCCTGTGTTGTTGGGTTGGTGGTGCTTAAGTATCATGTATGTCAATGTTTTTGAAATTTTGTAGTTTCCAGTGTTGTGATCTATAGTGTCGGTGACGGCGATTAGCGAGGCTTCTAGGCACCGTCGGCGTCTGAGGTCTGGTTCGGTGAGAACGAGTTGTGCCTGATTCCAGTTCATCAAATGTCCCGTGGAGTCTCTGTGGAGGACACAGGCGTACCTTACATCGTCTCTGTTAGAGGCATTTCGATGCTCATTCAGGCAGACTGCAAGATCTCTGCCTGTCTCGCCTCACTAATCGCCGTCACCGACACTATAGAACACAACACTGGAAACTACAAAATTTCAAAAACATTGGCATACATGATACTTAAGCACTACCAACCCAACAACACAGGAGTCACATGATTTCATCGTCTACCCGTCCACATCATAGGCAGAGGTTGTTTTGATAAGGACCTGCCTCGCATGGGCCAGTAGTCCTTCTACAGTGTTCCTCCATTCTTATGTTCTTATGACATTCCTCAGGTCACGTGTGTCACACCTCACTCTCCGCCTATATATATAATGCCTTTCTACGTCTGTATGTTAGAAGTGATCAAGGTCCCAGGACCGAAACGTTTTCTAATAAATATGTCATAGTGTTTGCTTACGTGTCTTTCTAAACCAACTTGTCGGTATTTATTACCAAGGTTTATACCATCTTTATGCGTATATGCTTCTAAACTGTTGTATTCTGAGCACCTCTGCAAAAGCAGTGATAATGTGTGAGTGTGGTGAAAGTGTTGAATGATGATGAATGTATTTTCTTTTTGGGGATTTTCTTTCTTTTTTGGGTCGCCCTGCTTCGGTGGGAGACGGCCGACTTGTTGGAAAAAAAAAAAAAAAAAAAGTTATTAAGGCATAACGTATGTATTTAGTACAATTTACGATGTTTTCATGTATTTTATGATTGTTCATGGTTTGACAAGTTAAGGAAGCAGTATTGTATTATATTTCCCTGCAATATATTGGGGCACCAAACATTCGAGATTTTTCAACATTCGCGAGGCTCTTGATCCCCTAACCCTCGTGAATGTTGAGGGAGACCTGTACTACTTCAGAAAACAAAGCTCACAATTCATACCAGAGTTACACAATTTATGTGAACAAACATAGCAGTCTTAATGAAAAGGGGCAGAAATTTTTCCATAAATAAGGAGCAAACATTTATGACAGAAAATGTGATACCTTAAACAAGGGGATGACTAGACTGTTTTCAGGCACTGCATTTAATGGTTTTGTTAAAACATTATCTTAACAGTTGCAACCAGTATCTGCAATAATGTAGCTATTCAAATGAGAGAGTAATTTTTTTGGTTCATCAAGTGCTATTTCATGTTATATTGACGAAGATTCAATTATATTCCGAGACAACATTAAGAATTAAAATTTATGCACTCAACCAATCAATTGGACGATAACAAAAGCTCAGGTGGGTAAAAATCACATGCGATCTTTTCCTATCCGAATCAAGTACTTGTGTGGAGAAACAGGTCTCAAATGAGTTATTTGTCTTGCCTAAACAGAACAAATCACAGTATCGTCATAGCACACAGTAAATTCCACCGTCTGATGATGCATGACAATTTTTAAAAAACACTTCAGCTGTGATGGCCAAAAGGCCATCATGACTCTTTAAAAACAATACTCAGTCTATGAACTGTCACAACCCCTTAACCCAACAAAGCAAAAGCACTGATACTTCTTTCAATATTTTGATAACTGTTTTAGTTTTTTATTACACACACACATGAAACAGAGGTGGGGTTTAACACCACTATGCCTCTACTAAACAATGGACCCATCTCTGGTGAAGAGAGGAAGAGTGGTATATGACAGGACCTTGCTACTCTCTCAGATGTGATCTGACTTTCTTATCTTTTATACTTTGTGTGTAATGCACTCATTAAATGAGAATAGCACCACTACGTCTATTCTCAAACAATGAACTATCTCTGGTGAGTACATCTTTTAAATTCCATCATCATAAAAAAATAACAGGAATTAGAGAGAAGATTACCATCTCAGTCCCCATCCCAAGTTACAACATGGGCTTCTATGGCAAAATGAGATTAACTTAACAAACCATTCTTGTCCCAAGCTAGGTAGTTAAGCTGGGGATCACTACATCTAAACCATTCAAATTACTCAAGTGAATCACCCCTATTTAATACAAATGGTTTGAATTAAAACATTTTAAAAATTTGTGTATTACCTTCGATTCTGACAGCTCACTGAAGAATCTTTAGTTGAAAAATTTAGCTGTGAACTAGAAGGTTGTGGTCCTGAGGTAGGTGGCACTTTTTGCTGCTGCTGCTGCTGCTGCTGCTGCTGTTGTTGCTGTTGTTGTTGTTGCTGTTGTTGCTGTTGTTGTTGCTGCTGTTGTTGCTGTTGTTGTTGTTGCTGCTGCTAATGCAAAGGAATATCTAGGTCAAAAGTCAGTACTGTATACTAAAACATGATCACACTTGTGTACTACTGTGAATGTTGCAACTTTCAAGATTGAAATACCAGAAAAAAAAAATTTGAAGGCCATCTTTCAGAAAAAAAATGTCATTATCAAACAAATTTTTTTTAACATTGTCCATCTGCCACCGAGAATGGGGGAAAAACAAAAAAAAATGCATACACCATCACTTATTCAATAGCTGTCACGCTAGAGCTTTGTAGGCATCATATTTCAAATGACCCTTTGAACTGCAACAGCCTCACCCATCTTCCAGAATACAGGCACTGTACTTCATCTCCAGGACTTAAGTCCAACTAACCAGTTCCCCTGAATTCCTTGATAAATGTTAAGCTTGCTCACACCAACAGCACATCATGGAATAAAAGTATCAAACAGTTTAACAAGTATTCACAACAGATAATACAGTAAATAGTTTAGTGTTGAATTTTTTTTTTTTTTTTTCAATAGATAAAGAACAATTCAGAACTGCATATTTAATCAATAAGTACGATAAAGCCAATCATAATTACACGAAGAACCTCTTATTAAATGCTTACCCCTGGTGGCTGCTGCTGCTGTAGTGGTTGTTGCTGCTGTGGCTGTTGCTGCTGCTGCCCAGGTTCTGAGGAAGGAGGAAGAGGAGCCACTTCTTCAGGAACAGCAACTTCTGCCTCCTCACATTCTTCTGGTTCAGGTTCCTATAAAGAAAAAGTGTTAAACATTTCAAAAACAAGCTTTAACCTATCTGAGAAAGTGAATCCTCAGATATGATTTGTATTATATAAAAACTATTTTAGAGTGGATAGGGAAGCAATGTGGCAGATGTTGCAAGTATATGGAATAGGTGGTAAGTTACTAAATACTGTAAAGAGTTTTTATGAGGACAGTGAGGCTCAGGTTAGGGTGTGTAGAAGAGAGGGAGACTACTTCCCAGTAAAAGTAGGTCTTAGAAAGGGATGTAATGTCACCATGGTTGTTTAATACATTTATAGATGGGGTTGTAAAAGAAGTAAATGCTAGGGTGTTCGGGAGAGGAGTGGGATTAAATTATGGGGAATTAAATACAAAATGGGAAGTGACAAAGTTACTTTTTGCTGATGATACTGTGCTTATGGGAGATTCTAAAGAAAAATTGCAAATGTTAGTGGACAAATTTGGGTGTGTGTGTAAAGGTAGAAAGTTGAAAGTGAACACAGAAAAGATTAAGGTGATGAAAGTATCAAATGATTTAGATAAGAAAAATTGGATATCAAATTTTGGAGGAGGAGTATGGAAGTGAATGTTTTCAGATATTTGGGAGTTGACATGTCAGCGGATGGATTTATGAAAAATGAGGTTAATCATAGAATTGATGAAGGAAAAGAGGTGAGTTGTGCATTGAGGTATATGTAGAGGCAAAAAATGTTATCTATGGAGGCAAAGAAGGGAATGTATGAAAGTATAGTAGTACCAACACTCTTATATGGGTGTGAAGCTTGGGTTGTAAATGCTGCAGCAAGGAGGCGGTTGGAGGCAGTGGAGATCTCCTGTCTAAGGGCAATGTGTGGTGTAAATATAATGCAGAAAATTCGGTGTGGAAATTAGGAGAAGGTGTGGAGTTAATAAAAGTATTAGTCAGAGGGCTGAAGAGGGTTTGTTGAGGTGGTTTGGTCATTTAGAGAGAATGGATCAAAGTAGAATGACATGGAAAGCGTATAAATCTGTAGGGGAAGGAAGGCGGGGTAGGGGTCGTCCTCGAAAAGGTTGGAGGGAGGGGATAAACGAGGTGTTGTGGGCGAGGGGTTTGGACTTCCAGCAAGTGTGCGTGAGCGGGTTAGATAGGAGTGAATGGAGACAAATGGTATTTAAGAACATAAGAACATAAGAAAGGAGGAACACTGCAGCAGGCCTGTTGGCCCATACTAGGCAGGTCCTTTACAATTCATCCCCCTAACAAAAATTTGACCAATCCAATTTTCAATGCTACCCAAGAAATAAGCTCCGATGTGCAAGTCCCACTCAAATCCAACCCTTCCCACTCATGTACTTATCCAACCTAAATTTGAAACTACCCAAAGTCCTAGCCTCAATAACCCAACTAGGTAGACTGTTCCACTCATCTACTACCCTATTTCCAAACCAATACTTTCCTATGTCCTTTCTAAATCTAAACTTATCTAATTTAAATCCATTACTGCGGGTTCTCTCTTGGAGAGAGATCCTCAAGACCTTGTTAATATCCCCTTCATTAATACCTATCTTCCACTTATACACTTCGATCAGGTCTCCCCTCATTCTTCGTCTAACAAGTGAATGTAACTTAAGAGTCTTCAATCTTTCTTCATAAGGAAGATTTCTAATGCTATGTATTAATTTAGTCATCCTACGCTGAATGTTTTCTAACGAATTTATGTCCATTCTGTAATATGGAGACCAGAATTGAGCTGCATAATCTAGGTGAGGCCTTACTAATGATGTATAAAGCTGCAGTATGACCTCTGGACTTCTGTTGCTTACACTTCTTGATATAAATCCCAGTAATCTATTTGCCTTATTTCGTATGCTTAGGCATTGCTGTCTTGGTTTAAGGTTGCTGCTTACCATGACCCCCAAGTCCTTTTCGCAATCTGTATGGCTAAGTTCTACATTATTTAACTTATAAGTGCTAGGGTTATGGACACTCCCGAGCTTCAGAACCTTGCATTTATCTACATTGAACTGCATCTGCCACTTTCCTGACCAAGAGTAGAGTTTGTCTAAATCCTCCTGAAGTTTCCTAACATCTACGTTTGAATCAATTATCCTACCTATCTTCGTGTCATCGGCGAATTTGCTCATATCACTAGTAATTCCTTCATCAAGATCATTGATATATATTATAAACAACAACGGGCCCAAGACTGATCCCTGTGGAACGCCACTTGTTACTGATCCCCACTCGGATTTAACCCCATTTATGGACACTCTCTGCTTCCTGTCTGTGAGCCATGATTTGATCCACGAGAGCACCCTTCCCCCAAACGAGAGCACCCTTCCCCCGAAGTGTGAGCAGGGTAATATTTAGTGAAGGGATTCAGGGAAACCAGTTATTTTATATAACTGGACTTGAGTCCAGTTTGGATAGATATATTGTGTATTTTTATACGTATATACTTCTAAACTGTTGCATTCTGGGCACCTCTGCAAAAACAGTGATTATGCGTGAGTGAGGTGAAAGTGTTGAATGATGATGAAAGTATTTTCTTTTTGGGGATTTTCTTTCTCTTTGCGCCATCCTGTCTCGGTGGGAGACGGCCGACTTGTTGGGGGAAAAAAAAAAATATTTACCCTGGGTTTTACCAAGAAAGGTAGTAAATGTTATCTTTTCATTCAAATACAGTACTATATATACTAAATAGGTAGTAGGTTGGTAGACAGCAACCACCCAGGAGGGTACTACCGTCCTGCCAAGTGAGTGTGAAACAAAAGCCTGTAATTGTTTTACATGATGGTAGGATTGCTGGTGTCCTTTTTTCTGTCTCATAAATATGCAAGATTTCTGGTACATCTTGCTACTTCTTCTTACACTTAGGTCACACTACACATACATGTACAAGCATATATATACACACACCCCTCTGGGTTTTCTTTTATTTTCTTTCTAGTTCTTGTTTATTTCCTCTTATCTTCATGGGGAAGTGGAACAGAATTCTTCCTCCGTAAGCCATGCGTGTTGTAAGAGGCGACTAAAATGCCGGGAGCAAGGGGCTAGTAACCCCTTCTCCCGTATAAATTACCGAATTTAAAAAGAGAAACTTTCGTTTTTCTTTTTGGGCCACCCTGCCTTGGTGGGATACGGCCAGTTTGATGGAGGAAAAAAAAAAAAAAAAGTAAGAACTGTGCTAGAGGACCGTAAAAAAAAAGCTAGCAAGATAAGTTTGGGAGTGAACTACCTTTAAATACATACAAGAATATTAATGTACTTGCAAAAGGTATAAAGCATCCCATGAACATATTTTGTTACTATGCATTGTGGCCAAAATAGTTTGTAACTTCATTTAACATAACATTATAAGTGAAATCTTTAATCAACGTTTTTACCCACTGCCATCTGTCTTTCATTTTTCTAAGTCATTTTATTAAATATATAATTTCATTATTTACATATTACTCCTGTATTTAAAAGGCATAAACATTCAAATTTTAAAAAAGTGACAACTTACATCTTCAGGACAAAGTTCATAAGCCTTTTCTAATGTAGACCGAGCACTTGGTGAACGTTCCAAAAAGTAACCATTACTAGTTTCATTGCTCTGTGCTGGAGGAGACCAGTTATTGAAGCCATACTGTTGATTGGCTGCATATGGGCGGCGGTCTAACTCATCATTCAGCCAATCTACAGCCCAGGTCCACTTTCGCTGAAAAGCAATATGTTTTAAGTACAAGTGGCACAATTTAAAAATAAAAACCTCTTATCAATAGCAAATAATATAATCACAAAAAAGGTACATATTGGAACCCATGGCACTAGGATTTAGGTTAATGCGCCTAATAGAAATGAAGATAATAGATACAAATGCAAGGTTGTACATAAATTAGCTTAGCATGGTATCCAGATACCATGCAAAGATTGCAGCCAAGTATACACTGGGCAGACAGGCCACACGCTATTAACGAGGATCATTGAGCACAAAAGAGCAATGTGTAATGTACAAGAGAATTCAGCCGTCTTTCAACATGTTAGCACCGACAATCATTATATTCACAGGGAGGCTGCTGCCATCAAACAAATCACACTACAGCTACAAACACAAAATCATAGAATTTGCTCTCATAGGTCCCATGTCTAATTTTAATGTTTGACAGGGATAATGGAAACCAGATATTTTTTCAAAATTCACTCTTAAGATGTACATACCAGCACCTAACCTAATACAAAATGCTAGTACAAGATCAGGAATTACACACAAAGAAACTACTCACCCAAATTTTAAGCTTGGTCCCAGTCACCTGCTTCAATATCTGACACACCACACCCACTTGCTCCCTGACCTGACATCTGACACACTGACTTGACCCTCCATACTCACTCACACTGCTGAGGGGCACAACCTTCCTATATAATGTTCTTTAATTTCTGTATCTGCTGAGGAGGACCCAAGTAGTGGGGTCAAAATATAGACAAATTTATCTTCTGAGTTTGTCTCCATGTGGATTATTATTGAGAATTGACAAGTGCTCATTACACTTACTGGTTATTCATTTTCAACTAAATTTTACGTAAAACTAAAATGTATTTTTCCAAGCAGTAAATAACGAGGGGGTAAAGTGGGGGGAGAGAATTAATATCAAGATAGAATGCTATTAAACAAAATGCAACAAACTTACTTTTAAATCACCATTAGAGTGCAACATCTGTTGAGCAGCCAAGCAAGATGAAAAAAGTGACACCATACATTTTATACACTGATACGCTCTCTTCTGATAGTGGTTTTTACTTCGCTGGATTGTATCAAATAAACCTTCTCGATCATCAGGAATACCTAACAAAGAAAATTAGAGCAAATGGTTAAAATGATAAAGCGACTACAATTTTTTTTTAGATAATTAAAAATAATCTGATTACGTTTTGTATAAAATTTAGTATTTCACTGCTGAATTGTTTTTTGTAAAAAAGAGAAATATTAAATAGTAAATGGAAACATGCATTTTGCAAAATATTCATAATTAACTCAAACTGTGAAATACCCACAAATAAAAATTCCATTGAAGGACCGGTAACATTATGGGAAAAAATCATACAGAATGAAATTGTGAATTTTTCCGAGTCTAATAAGAGTAAAACGAGTGAAATCTGTCCTTAGGCTGGATTTTTAGAAAAATAACTAATCTGGTCACATGTATGCTTACCAGCCTAGAATATGCCACCGATGTTAGTATGTTCATATGTACTTTTGGGATAGGTTTGGTGTAAGGTTTACTCCTGGTCTTTTACTAGCATTCTCTTTGACATCAATCTACCAGGTGGAAAACTGCCTCTAGTCTCATTTACTCTGTACCTAGTGTCATTACTGTGGTACTCTGCACTTGCTTGTGGCAAATTCTAGTAGACATCTGTTAAATTGTTCTTGTAGTTTTCATAACTCTTAGAATTGTAACAACATGTAGTTGTAAACAAATCAGAGAACAGATGGCAGTAATCTCCCTATTAAGTACAGGTCGGCCATCACTAAGCCGGCAATCAGTTATCCGGTTCCATCAGTAATCCGGCACTAATTTCAGGTAGCATAATTTCAAATTTCATCATTATACTGACTCAGAAATTGTGTAGATAGTTGTAAATCCACAGCAGCAAGCCAGTGGAGGAGAAAGCAGTGATAAAAATGAGGAAGATGCAGCAGAAAGTCTCTCTATTGATAGGTTAATTAAGTGTGTTCTAACCTAACCACTCTGTAATCCTGCAAACTCATTAATCTGGCACACTACACGTCCCAATGATGCCGGACTAGTGATGGCCGACCTGTATAGAAATTTACCTAGCTGGATGAGTCTTATTGGGCCAATATGGCCCAGTGGATAGCACACTGGCCTTGTGTTAGTGCATTAAAAGAAACTTTTTTGCAATACACGAACATGTGCATTTGAAATATGTGACCTCCCAGTCATCAAGCTGTGTTCTCTAGGTGCTCCACCAGCCTTCTCTTTATTTATTTTTTTTTTTATTATTTATTATCACACTGGCCGATTCCCACCAAGGCAGGGTGGCCCGAAAAAGAAAAACTTTCACCATCATTCACTCCATCACTGTCTTGCCAGAAGGGTGCTTTACACTACAGTTTTTAAACTGCAACATTAACACCCCTCCTTCAGAGTGCAGGCACTGTACTTCCCATCTCCAGGACTCAAGTCCGGCCTGCCTGTTTCCCTGAATCCCTTCATAAATGTTACTTTGCTCACACTCCAACAGCACGTCAAGTATTAAAAACCATTTGTCTCCATTCACTCCTATCAAACACGCTCACGCATGCCTGCTGGAAGTCCAAGCCCCTCGCACACAAAACCTCCTTTACCCCCTCCCTCCAACCCTTCCTAGGCCGACCCCTACCCCGCCTTCCTTCCACTACAGACTGATACACTCTTGAAGTTATTCTGTTTCGCTCCATTCTCTCTACATGTCCGAACCACCTCAACAACCCTTCCTCAGCCCTCTAGACAACAGTTTTGGTAATCCCGCACCTCCTCCTAACTTCCAAACTACGAATTCTCTGCATTATATTCACACCACACATTTCCCTCAGACATGACATCTCCACTGCCTCCAGTGGTACATTTGTCAGAAACATTTAAAATACATAGTTAAGGGTCTCCTGTATTTTCGCTTTTTGAATTCTGAGACTACATTGCCATCTGTAAGGCAGCTGGAAATTTTCCAGTCTTGAGTGATTTGTTAAAGAACTGGACAACTTCTATACACAGGGCTTCAATCCCTTGTCACAGTATTCAAAGCACTAATTTACCTAGTCACTATGTGGTTGATGCGTCAAGATTCCTTTAGGAGCCTCATTACTTCCTCACACACTTAAAAGTTGTGGTTTCTGATTCCCCTTTCCACCTGTCACTGGATTTTGCTCAGCTGTGAATACAGTGGAGAATCCTCTGCAATGTTACATGCATCGAAGATGCATGCAAGTATCTCATCAGGCTTCTCACTACAGTGGACCCTCAGTTAATGATGCCATCGGATAGTGATAAAATCAGATACCGATACATTTTTGCGTCAAAATATTGGTTCGGCTAACGATAAAAAACTCTGTTAAGGACATTCGTCCAGAACGTGTCCACGCAGCTGCCTGGGCCCAACCAGCCACTCACGTACAGCCAGACAGCAAGTGTGCCATTGTTTACAAGCCACCGAGGAAGATTCCATGCATTCATGTGATATATTTTGTATTCCATTGTTTTTAGTGCTTATAACTGCTAAATAAGCCACCATGGGCCCAAAGAAAGCTTCTAGTGCCAGCCCTTTGGTAAAGGATGTGAGAAACACAATAGAATTCAAGAAAAAGTTTGTAGAAAAATATGAAAGTGGTGGTGGTAGAGGGTGGTAGTGATGGTGGTAGAGGGTGGTAGTGGTTGTGATGGTGGTAGAGGGTGGTAGTGGTTGTGATGGTGGTAGAGGGTGGTAGTGGTTGTGATGGTGGTACAGGGTGGTAGTGGTTGTGATGGTGGTAGAGGGGGGTTGTGATGGTGGCTGTAATGGTGGTTGTGATGGGGGTAAAGGGTGGTAATGATGGGGGTAAAGGGTGGTAGTGATGGGGGTAAAGGGTGGTAGTGATGGTGGTAGAGGGTGGTAGTGGATGTGATGGTGGTAGAGGGTGATAGTGATGGTGGTAGAGGGTGGCAGTGATGGTGGTAGAGGGTGATAGTGATGGTGGTAGAGGGTGATAGTGATGGTGGTAGAGGGTGGCAGTGATGGTGGTAGAGGGTGGCAGTGATGGTGGTAGAGGGTGGTAGTGGTTGTGATGGTGGTAGAGGGTGGTAGTGGTTGTGATGGTGGTAGAGGGTGGTAGTGGTTGTGATGGTGGTAGAGGGTGGTAGTGGTTGTGATGGTGGTAGAGGGTGGTAGTGGTTGTGATGGTGGTAGAGGGTGGTAGTGGTTGTGATGGTGGTAGAGGGTGGTAGTGGTTGTGATGGTGGTAGAGGTTGTGATGGTGGTAGAGGGTGGTAGTGGTTGTGATGGTGGTAGAGGGTGGTTGTGGTTGTGATGGTGGTAGAGGGTGGTAGTGGTTGTGATGGTGGTAGAGGGCAGTAGTGGTTATGATGGTGGTAGTGGTTGTGATGGTGGTAGTGGTTGTGACAGTGGTAGAGGGCGGTAGTAATGGAGATTTGTGCAATGTGGAGTAAGATGGAAAGATTTGTGGCATTAAAAAACAAAGAAGGGAAGTGACCTTGGATACGGACTTGGTACCTAAGTCCTTACGGAAGGGGATTCCCCTTCCAAACAACTGTAAACTCCTCCATCCTCTGCCCTCCTCCCATCTCATCACTCATCAAATACGTCTTCAATAAAGTAAAGTGTCATTTTATTAATGTATTTATTCTGCATGTCTCATTGTTTTATGTGTAGGAAAATGTATATTTCAAGTGAAAACATTTTTTTTTTAATACTTTTGGGTGTCTGGAACGGATTAATTGGATTTACATTATATCTTATGGGGAAAATTAATTCGGATAACAAAATCCGTTATGGACAAGCTCTCTGGAACGGATTAATATTGTTAATTGAGGGTGCACTGTAGATGCTTAGCATGCCTTGAATTTAACAAGATAATCTGATCTACTATATTTATATTCTCACCAGATAAAGCACTAGAATAACTCTGGCCCCATTTTTAATTTAAGTTCATTTTGAATTTTCTTTTAATATCACATCATACTTTAAATTAGTTAGTTCAGACACTTCTGCTTATCTAGATGCTGTAACAGCATTAATGACAAAAAACTGAAAAAGAATGTTTTATGTTAACCTTTAAGTGCGTTGTGAATTCGATGATTTTGCCAGGAGTCATCAAGTAGTAGCATATGCAGTAAGAGATCAAGATATGGTCTTAATTCATATGTGTAGGAATATGCAATCTGCCACAGTAGCTCCGAGAGAACCGTTGAAGAGAAGAGGGGGTTTTCCCAACAACAAAATTTGAGTAGTTTAACTGTATCTTCTGATGTATTTGCATCCTCAATGATCTTCTTGACATATCTGTGGAAAAATTAATAAATAAATCAGCAAAATACAATTCTCTGAGGTTAGTGGTCAGAATTGGTTGCTACCTGTTCTGAGCTGTTTTGGGGGATTAGTGTGACAGTTCCAATCACCATTTTACAGAATGTGTCAAGTGGGTTTTCGATAACGTGGATGGGGTAAGAATACTCACGTAGGCTGGTAGTACGTATAATGTAACAAAGTATGGGAAGCGCCAACAGCCGACCTGCCTCTCTCTGCTCCCTATCTTCGACTGACTCTCAAGTGCCTACGGGTGAGGGGTGTTTGAAATCCTGCTATGGTCAGCAGCAATATGAATAATCAGTCAGTGATTCACGCAGACGGTTGGTAGTGAGTCATCTACTGGTACACTGGTTACTGGTAACTGGTTACTAGGAACTGGTACTACTACTGAGAGCTCGGTGACGCTAACGTATGTCGTCCCGACATACAACTAATACAAACTAGAGACGGCAGGTGTACGGCTTGGGCTGATTCTATACAATGTCAAAGTACACAACAATTGAACATTATAACATACATAAGTAGAATATTGGAATGGAAGCTTACGTAATTGAAACTGTAATAAAACTGTAATGCAATACAAGGTATAATATAGCACAACTCATCGAATGAAACTCAACGTTGGGATTACACAATAGAAGTGATAAAAAAAAAATTTGATCGATCAATCTGTATTCATGTGATCTACGGATTCTGAGGAAGGAATATATGCAAAGAAAGAAGTGTTTAACAGAAAGGCAGATTCGGTGCACTCAAATCTAGACTGTTAACTCTCAGAATTCGGAGAGAACGTGAACACAAAAAAAATTCTTGAATACTGATAAGTTGATACTGTAATTATTCATCTATACAGGTTATTTACATTTAAGCCCAACTCTGCTAGGGTGAGATTGATATATGCAGAATGGGTGTCATCTCTGGGAGGATCAAACTCTGTTGCACTGGCTAACTCATGCTGTATTTGAGGCAAATCTGAATTGGAAGTAACAAATGATACTTGAGGATTTCTCAATACCTGACGTGTATGTAGGGAATAACGACATTCAGGTTGATAGTCTGACTGAGTATCAGAGGTAGAGAGTACAGGATCAGGAGAATTGTCAGAGTGTCACATTAGTCTGGGTTGGAACATCATTATCATCACATACTAACTTCATATGATCTAAATGCAATTCTTTATACTGACCAGTACTAATTTCTCTAACCTTATACTTATTACCAGTGATATGTTCAACTACTCGATAAGGACCAACAAACTTTTGATCAAGCTTAGGCATTGCAGACGTTTTGTTAAAGTTAGTCAGCATAACTCTTGAACCTACTTTGATTTTGGATGGCTTTGCTCGAGTGTTTGCGACTCTTGTAAATTCTGCTGTTGATTTATGAAGTGTTTCACGGATTCTTCTAAAAACACTTTGAGCTAAGCTGGTACGAGTTGCTATGAAATCATCAGGGTTGTAATTTGGTTTCGAATTAGAATATAGCAACTCATAAGGCAAACGTTTATCTACACCATACAATGCATGATGTGGAGTGTCACCTATAGATACATTACAGTGGACCCCCGCATAGCGACCTTAATCCGTGCAAGAGGGCTGGCTGTTATGCGAAATGTTCGGTATGCGAATGAATTTTCCCCATAAGAAATAATGGAAATCAAATTAATCCGTGCAAGACACCCAAAAGTATGAAAAAAAAAATTTTACCACATGAAATATACATTTTCCTACACACAAAGAGAAGGATACATGCACAATAGTAGAGTAGTACATGCACAATATATATTGTGCATGTACTACTCTACTAAATGAAGAATAAATGACACTTACCTTTATTGAAGATGCAGCAATGACTGATGAGACACTGTGTCCTGGGAGTGCCTTTTCCTCCTGAGTACTGTAGGTCCTGTTTGGTATTTTCTTCCAGAACAGGCCTTATCACACTGTGTATGCCACTACGATTCTTAAATCTCTCAAACCAACCTTTGCTGGCTTTAACCCTTTGACTGTCGAAGGGCCAAATCCTGAAGTTGCTTCTGGTGTCGCAAAATATTCGAAAAAAAAAAAAATATTTTTTCTTATGAAATGATAGAGAATCTTTTCCCGATTGTAAAGACACCAAAAAAACGAAATTTGATGGAAAACTGACGGAATTACGCTCTCGCGAAGTTAGCGACTTCGGCGATATTTAAAAATCGGCAATTTCGCCCACTTTGAGCCCTATTTTCGGCTAATTCCGTTATTCCAGTCAACCAAACTCATAACTATTTCTTCAGAACTCTATTTTTTCCATCGATTGAGTACAAGAAACTGCCCATTTACCGATTTCAACTACCCAATAACATGGTCAGAAATTTGCAATTTGGCCAATTTCACGAAAATTAAAAAATATGACAATTTCAAAATAAGGTCCAGAATGAACAATGCAGACATTCCTGGCTCTAAAATAACATTTTCTTTGTTCATCAGTCATGTCTCCAGGTCCCTGTGATATTACTCTTGCTTTTTATTTTGAAATTTTATTCAAACAAAAAATAGAAGATTTACTGTTATGCAGACTACTGCAATACTGTAATAATTGTAAAAATTACATCAACCCATTCATGACTGCGTATTAGAATGGCTATTTGGACATTTATTGGACAATGACATCATTTGTTCACTTTTGAACATCGGCAAAAATCAAACATTTCCTGTACTTTGTGCTCCATTTCCAGGTTCTTTTTATAGTAAAATTAATCAAAATCACCTCCATTTCTATAATATAGTTTCCATTCTATCAAATGAGACCAAGAAAACGAGAATACAACCACAAATACTATACGAAAATAGACCACAAAGTCGGCATTTTAATTAAAAAAAACGGTCGGAGTTTTTTTTTTCTCATTATGCACTGCGTGCTCCAGGATTTTTTTTATGTGGTGCACACTGACCACACAGACCCATTCTCTCACATGTGGGCCTACTAGCTTTCTCCTGCCTGATTTGAAGCCGCTAGAATTTATGAGTATATATACGTCAAACACGGTACCTCGCAAACGTATATATACGGCCGCGACAGTCGAAGGGTTAAATTCACCTATATGAGCACTAGTTCCAGGCATTTTCCCCTGTTCACCTGGGTGTTAGTCGACTGGTGTGGGTTGCATCCTGGGAGACAAGATTAAGGACCCCAATGGAAATAAGTTAGACAGTCTTCGATGACGCACTGACTTTTTTGGGTTATCCTGGGTGGCAAATCCTCTGGGGTTAATTGTTTCTTGGTATTCTCAATAAGCCACACCAACAACGGTGGTACAGCAGCAGCAGCAGCTGACGGTGGTACAGCAGCAACAGACGATGCTACAGCAGCAACAGACGATGCTACAGCAGCAGCAGACGATGCTACAGCAGCAACTGACGATGTTACAGCAGCAGCAGACGATGCTACAGCAGCAGCAGCAGCAGACGATGCTACAGCAGCAGCAGCAGCTGACGGTGGTACAGCAGCAACAGACGATGCTACAGCACCAACAGACGATGCTACAGCAGCAGCAGACGATGCTACAGCAGCAACTGACGATGTTACAGCAGCAGCAGACGATGCTACAGCAGCAGCAGCAGCAGACGATGCTACAGCAGCAGCTGACGGTGGTACAGCAGCAACAGATGATGCTACAGCAGCAACTGACGATGTTACAGCAGCAGCAGACGATGCTACAGCAGCAGCAGCAGCTGACGGTGGTACAGCAGCAACAGACGATGCTACAGCAGCAGCAGACGATGCTACAGCAGCAGCAGACGATGCTACAACAGCAGCAGACGATGCTACAGCAGCAGCAGCAGCAGCTGATGGTGGTACAGCAGCAGCAGCTGACAGTGCAGCAGCAGCTGACGGTGGTACAGCAGCAGCAGCAGCTGTACCACCAATAGTAGCGATGGTTGATTGGGGTTTATTATACAACCTGGCCAGCTCGGAGACACGCACTCCACTTTCATACTTATCAATGATCTTTTTCTTCATCTCCATAGTAATTCTCACCCTTATTGCTGTAGGGTTGGCACTAGAAGCTTTCTTGGGGCCCATGGTCACTTATTTTCCAGAAAAAATCACCAAAAACACTGTAATAATACGAAATGTTCCGATTGTATGCTTGGATGTTACCGCGGAGGCTGGCTGGTAAACAATGCCACCGGCGGAACATGTGAGCATGGCTCAGGCCGCACATTGGACGCGTCTCGGACGAAGGGCGGTGAGCGGGTTTTTGGGCGGTATGCGAGGCAAAATTTTTGCGATCAAAGCGTCCGGTATGCGGATTGTACGGTATGCGATGCATCCGGTATGCGGGGGTCCACTGTATAAGCAGAATTTATAGCACACTGCACATCAGGTATAACTTCATCCCAAGTTTCACCGTTGGGATTGATAGTGGCTCTCAAGACATCAAGTACTTTCTTATTGGTACGTTCCGCTAACCCATTGTTGGCAGGATGATGAGGAACAATGGTGGATTTAGAGATCTTGTACAAGGTACACAAATTTTCAAGAATCTCATTACAGAATTCACCTCCATTATCTGTTACTAGGGACTTAGGGGTGGTATGCCTGCAGATAATGCGTTCTTTAAACGCTTTAGCTACTGTCTCGGCAGTCTTATCTGCAATAGGAACTAACTCACAATATCTGGTGAAATGGTCTACCATAACACGTAGATGTTTGTTGCCCTGGAGGGAACATTGGAAATTAGTTAACAAATCTAGCGCAACTCTTTCCCACGGTTCGCTAGTAGTTGGATACACTTGGATTGGATTAGGACCATTAGCATTACCTTTATGTTGCATGCAGACACTACATTTCTTAACATACTCAGAAATATCAGTTGCCATACGAGGCCAAAAGTATTTCAATCTGGCTTGTTTTACTGAACGATCCATACCAGGGTGTGCAACACCTGGTACATCGTGAACTAGCTGTAAGGCTACATTCACTAGTGA